TTAATTTATTTTTCTCTTTGATTTTTTGAAAAAACAATCTGAGAAGCACAAAGTATAAGGTGTAAGTGTCAATATACAGGCCAGCAAAAAAGTGAGTAAGTGTTAAGATTTTGCTGTATTTGCTTCAGATTTTTTTTTTAAGAAAAACAAAGCTTTATAGATAAAGCTTCAGATAAATTCCCTTTATTTTGCTCCCATTCCTTTTTTCCCAAGGTCAGAGCTCTCATAAAGTTATCAGGAACCTTTTCAGTGTCTTCAGAATTTTACTGTATGTATAGTTAGTTACATATATATTGCAATATACACTATTATAAAATACACTATTGTTATTTTTTATATATTGAAATGTTAACAAATGGTATCATATGTATCAGTCTGCACCCTCTTTTTCTTAATCCACTGCTCTCTGTTCTTGAAGTTTATCAGTATCAACAAATCAACCGGATCTGAAAACAAACAGATCTAGTTCATTTTCTTTAAGTGTCTTATACTATTGTATTGGATAATTAAAGCACAATTTATTTATTCTTATGATGCCGGATAGTTCCATTATTTCTCATTATTTACTATTACAAACAATGCTCCAGTGAATGCCCTTGGACTTGTCTCCTTGGGCACACATAGGGGGGTTTCAGTGGAAAAATTTCCTAGAAGTGATATTGCTGAGTCCTAGGATTTATGCATCATCAGCTTCATTTTGATGTCTCCAAAGTGTTTTCCAACGTGACTGTGCTTTCTTATACTCCTTTTCAGCAAAGCTGGAGCTTGCCTGCTTTCCTCCCTTTTCCTTCCTTCTTTCTTCCTTTCCTTTTTCCTTTCCTTTCCTTTCCTTTTTCCTTTCCTTTTTCCTTCCCTTTTTCCTTTCCTTTCCTTTCCTTTTTCCTTTCCTTTTTCCTTTCCTTCCCTTTTTCCTTTCCTTTTTCCTTTCCTTTCCTTTCCTTTTCTTTCCTTTCCTTTTTCCTTTCCTTTCCTTTCCTTTTTCCTTTCCTTTTTCCTTTCCTTTCCTTTCCTTTTTCCTTTCCTTTCCTTTTTCCTTTCCTTTTTCCTTTCCTTTCCTTTTTCCTTTTTCCTTTCCTTTTTCCTTTCCTTTTTCCTTTCCTTTCTCCTTTCCTTTCCTTTCCTTTTTTTTGGAGCTACCTTCCTAAAACCAATGTGCCAGATATGCTGCTATGGTTTTGAGAGTTTTCTACTGCAAAATTTTACCTTTTTCCCACCAAGTATCCTGTGTGTTTCTTTACGTGTATTTCCCACACTTTCACCGGGTCTTTTTTTTTGGCTGCTTTAGAAAGAATAGAGCAAATACTAAAACTTTGGTTGTTTCATGTTCATTCAGGACAGAGTACAAAGTCTGAAGCAAAACTATGCTTTATTCAAGTGTTCTTCCAGAATGAATCTTTCCCTTAGTATAAATTCCACTCTCTTACCTTCATCGTCATTATTTGAATGAATGAAATTTCTGACCTCTTTGACATTTTCATAGATTCTGAGAGGATTGTCTCAGCACCTTGTGCACGGGTTTTGGTGTTTTTCTGCTTATTTCAAATCTTTTGAAAGGAAATGAAAACAAAATGAATGTTGGTGTCAGCATTAATTCATCTCCTTAAATTCCTTGAGTTTTTTTTTAGACCTCCTAGGTATCTAACTTAAAATTTCATTTTAGTGTCACACAAATGTAGCTGTTAACACAACCTCCAAAAACACTTTCCTGAACTTGAAATTGTTGCTCTCACCTGAAACTTGTTGAAGCATTTCTTCCCTTATACAGGCACTAGTGCCCTTGTATAGTTCAGTTACACAAAGAATTTTACACATACCCCCTTTTATTTTTTATTTTATTTTATTTTTTTAGAGCAGGAGAGAGGCGGGGAGGAGCTGAGGGAGAGGGAGAGAGAGAATCTTAAGCAGGCTCCATGCTCAGCGTGGAGCCTGATGTAACACTCGATCTCACAACCCTGAGATCATGACCTGAGCTGAAATCAGTAGTCGGATGCTTAACTGACTGAGCCACCCAGGCGTACCCACATACCCCCTTTTTCAATACACTGAACTCTTAAATGGAAACAAAGTTGAACTGATGATGGAGAATAATGATAGGGCCCAAACGAGTCCCTAGAGCTTTTCTGGGGAGATCATCCTTAGTTCCTGTTTAGGCTTACATTTGGGCATCCTGGTTTTCCCACTTTTATTATTATTATTGTGACTTGACATTTTATGACATTTATGAAGCTTTTATTTGAGGGGGGACTTGGGTGAGATGGATGTAATCAGATTTGTGTTTTGAAAGATCAGTCTGGCTGTGGTATAGAGACTAGGTTGGAGGGGCCTGGGGAAGGTGCAGGGAGGTCAGTGGGGAGCTGGATGAAGGCCCGCAGGTGCACAAGGAAGCCGACCCCGGCTGGGATGGTGACAGTGGATGGGGCGAGATGGATTCACTGGAAGAACATTTAGGAGGCAAATTTACCTGGATTTGGTGATGGCCAGGCGCTGGGGGCCGAGGGAGAAAACCACATCAAGGTCCAGTGAGTTTCCTCGACCCTGATTGGGTGCGTAGCTATGGGATCTAAGAAGGTGCCTGAGATTTTCGTCCCGGTTCTGTTGAAATAGTGTAAAGTCAGGGAGGCCTCATGCCCTGGGCTACGCTGTGTGATGCTTGGAAAAAGCCTGACAAATAGTCACCTGCTCTCCTCAAGGCAGGTAGGGGGCAGGCAAAAGTGGTAGGATTCCTATATTTACAGTCTACGCAGCTTGAGGAGTGTAGGAAGAAGCCCCTTTATACTCATTTTCAAGACTGGCTAGACATGGTGTTCAGATGAGCCATCATTCAAGGTAGCAACCCACTACAGGTAAAGGTTAGAGAAGTTTTTTTTGTTTTTTTTTTTTATATTTTATTTACTTATTTGAGATGGAGGGAGAGAGAGAGAGAATGCGCACATGCAAGAGCAGGGAGAGGGAGGAGCAGGCTCCCCATGAGCAGGGAGCCTGACACGGGGGCTCGATCCCAGGACCCTGGGATCATGACCTGAGCCAAAGGCAGACGCTTAACTGACTGAGCCACCCGGGTGCCCCAAATGTTGGGGAGTTTCACGTGCTGTTGATGACATTGGCTAGAAGCACAAAGGAGAATGGTATTTCTCAAAATGCTTCGTAATTATTTTCACCAACAGCTCTCAAGGAAAGTCTGTTCATCGGGGAAGGATAGGGCAGAGGGCTGGGTCATCAACATTTTTGGCTCCATTTTAGATAAACATTGGTGTCTGAGAAACTGATGGCTTTTGTTCAGTGTCGCATGGGCTGTCAACAGCAGACTCGGGGTTGAGACTTTGAATCTTTGAGCTTCCTAAAAAGGACACACCAACAGTAAGAACAACAGAGTCACTACAGTGTGATCTAACCTAAAGGCAAAGCCTGTCATTTGTTTGCTCAGGTAGCAGATGTGTCCACCACGTGAAATGATTCTGTTCTCTGCCATGATCCTCAAACTAGGAATTTAAAGAAGTCATTAATCTTAAATATAATATAATCCAGGAATGTCTTTATTCTTCTCAGGCGACCTTGATTATCAGCTGTGATCACGCTCGCAGGCTACCCAGTCAAAGCTTCTCCAGCAATTGCCTTCATTAGATTGATGTCTTTCTTTTATTTGGGGGCAGGGGGTTAGTGGAAAGGTTGGGAGTGGAGACAAATGAGTTGAAGAAAAGCAAGAAAAAAAAAAGTCAGCTGTTTAAAATGACTGGAGATAATAAAAGAAACTGTCATCACTAAGCCCTCTGGTCCCCAGAACAGAAATACTGAGCTAAATTAATATGAATGACGATACTAATTTTAGGGTCTAATGTAACCAGTGAGTCTCTCTGTAGGACGTACTCTCCTTGTCCGTTTGGAAGAGACTGGAAAGGCTGATCAGAGGGTAAGAGACATAATTTGTCAGGATGCTCTGGGGAAAACCTCAGCAGTTACAAGGATCCCCTCGCTGATTTTATTTGGAAAGGACCAGCCCTACTGTGGTCCTTCTGAGAACCCCACCCCTTGCTTCCTGGATGCCCCAGGGCTGGGAGTCCCTTCTGAAGCTGCTTAACAGAGATACCACATCCACCAAGGTGCCCAGGGCTCACCTGGTTTCTGGAAGTGGGAGCCTATTACCTCACTCGTCAGGGCTGACTCTGGGTGTGCTGGACTGATGTTATGCATGAGACTTTTTGTCCCATGCTCTTTGCCTGGTTTGAAGCGGATTTCATTTCCTTGAATATGATCTTGAAAGAAAATTTGCATAAGATGACTTAAAGCAGTCATTGTTAGACCCACCTCAGTTAAGACATTGAAAATCCATAGGAAGCAGTTAATTTTTTTTCTTTCTCTTTTTGAGGGTCTCTCTTTTTTGATGGTCCTCCTTATAGTTTCAGGTCCTGACAGCTGAAGTCCCACATCCTCTGCGACGTGAGAGTCCATTTATTTCATCCAAATTTTGTTTTTTGTTTTTGTTTTTTTTTTTACCAGTTCTGTGCATTTCCATAATGCTCCACCTGCCCTCTGCTGGGTATCACCGAGCTTGTCCAACCCATGGTTACTGCTTCCCGAAGGCCTTCGAACAGTTACGTGTTTGAGCCTGGTGGGGGGGGGCCTCTGGTGTGGATGTTCCAGCCATGTCAGTGTGGCCTCTCCCTTCAGCTTGCTTTGTTTATCCAGCAGCTCATTATTTAAGAGTAGCCTGTCAAAATAGGTTTAAATATCCTTTGGGAAACATAGTCCCTCACATCTTTGAGATACCAGAAATATGTTGAATACAGGGAAGATTGGCTTGATAAGAAAAACATGATCGACTTGCATCACCAAAAAATATTTTCCTGTCATTCCAGTTGCGTTTCCACAGGCATCAGTAAGCCCCCCGCAAACCTACAGGCCATACGTTTCTGCAGCCGACACATAAAGACACCAAGGGAAGCAGGGAAAAATGATTGCTGATGATTCGTTCTAACTACTTGACCTTCTGACCTCTTCTCTAGATATATGACCAAGATGGGACACTACAGCACTTTATTGATGGTGGGGAACCTAGTAAGTCGAGCTGGATGAGGTATATCCGGTGTGCAAGGCACTGCGGAGAGCAGAATCTAACAGTAGTTCAGTACAGGTAAAGTATATCTTGATTTACCCCCTATGGAGCTGAAGCCCTTCGGCTTGCATTTACAAAATTCAGGCTTGCTGCTAGTTGTGAAAAATCCTGCAGAGAGTCCTGCAGAACCCTGTGGGAACGGGCAGGAATTTCTTTTACTGGGTTTCTGGGATCTCCTTAGTTCTTGCAACAGTAATGTCGTGAGAATTCCAGAATAAAGATGCTCATGGAAGGCCTCTTTCCCTTGGGTGCACACGGTCAAGCTCCTTCCATATCACTGCCGGAACATCTACCACTGCCTGGGTGAGCCTGGAAACCCCGCTGGTGTGGGGTGCTTTCCGGCCCCCCCCCAGCAGATGTGTACTCGCACAGAAATAGGAGCGTGGAGATTCAGCCTCGGATCCCTTGCAGCCCATCCTCTGCAGGCTTGCTGCCTCAGGAAACTGTCCTTCGTACAAAGGCGTGGGAAACCAAGCACTAACTCCCACCCCGCCCCAGGCTGCTCTTCTCAAACTGTTGGGCTCAGCAGCAGCAGCTGAGCCCAAATCACCTCTCCCGCTCCCTCGCTCCCTCGCTCCCTCGCAAGTTGCCAGAGCGTTTGGCTTTGGCTCTTCGACTGTTCAGACTGTGTTTCAGGTGATGAAGCAGCCCCAGAGCACGGAGAAACCCCCCCAGTTCCCTGCGAAGGTTGCACAAAGCCAAAAGGGTAGCAAAGAGGAGGCGGGGCCTCCCTCGGTTCCCAAAATCCCGTGGGCGGGGCGGAGGAGGGGGGATCCCCGCCTCCGCTCAGTGCACCTGTTGGTCAGGCATTTCCACTTGGTGCTAAAGAAGGCTGGAGTGGAGACGAGAGCACGAAAACAGATCACAGAGGCAAAAAAAAAAAAAAAAAGCCCTTTTCTCAGAATCCCTCGAAAACATGTGCCGTATAAATATATGACCTCAGTTATAAACAGCCGTGTTCCCTTTAGAATCAGAAGCAACTGTTTAGCTTTAGTAGGCACCACAGACACATCAAAGCAGAAGGCCCTGTCCTCGGCAACTTGGAGTCCTGCCTATGGCTGTTTATTTCCTTACTTGCTTTTTTCTTTTTTTAGTTTTTAAACATGAAGCCTTGTAAAGGAAAAAAAAAAAAAGAAAAAGAAAAGAAAGGGCTTTCTCCCCCCTATAGGTTGAAGGCTGCACAAATCTGGCTGCCTCTCTGAAGGTCTCCAGTTCAAAAGGAACCTATTTGGGCAGCCTTGGTTTCTTGTGCAGTTATATTTTCTTAAATAATGGTTTCGGTGCATGCCAGTGTCTGGATACGCTGCCATGTGCAGGCTCTACTCACCTTTATAGCAGCCACATTTCTGTCGTGAAGCTTTTAGGAAACTCGGAGCTAGAAAATTAGTAAACATTGTGCTCGTCCACTCGGCGAGAGATCGTTTGGCTGGCTCTGTCATGAGCACCCGGGGAGCTCTTGAGGCAAACTCTGAATTGGGGGAAGCAAGACGCCCCTAAGGGGAAGGTGGGCAAGTCAGTAAGTCAGTCACCTATCTGTCAACCGTGAGTGGATTTTACAGCTCCCCTTTCATGCCGGCACTTAAACTTCCAGATCTCTCCGCCGATCTGTTTTTGATTACTTCGGATCTCTCTAAAATGAACTACAAAAACACAATTTAGAAAAACTGGCATCTATTACCAGTGACCACGTCCAAGAGTAAGAAAATAGAAAAGTTGGACCCTGAAGAGCCAGCCTCATTTTTATTGTACATGAATGTCCTCTTCACGAAGAGTCAGCTGGTTTAGATTCATTCTGTTATGATTTGTAATATCTAAATGGAATTTTCTTCAAAGCGCCCTTGATTGATTGACCCTTAGCTGAACGTTTTGTTTTTATTTTGAGGCTGACAATAATGTTTGTTGGCATGTGTTCTGCTTCAACTGCGTTGGGACGCCATGAAGCTATCTTTATGAGTCATCCAACCACAATACTAAATACATGTCAGCAAAGGAAATATTATCTGAAAAGGGAAAAATCCCTTTGATGTGCTTCAACATGCAGAGATTTCTGCGAGTTTTGGAAGCTCTGCCCGCTTGTAAGGAACGGTGTACGCTTACACTTTTTTTTTTTTCCTTCTTTTTTTCCTCCTCTCGGCCTACTCTGTGCCTCAGAAGACCACCCATTGCTCGAAAACAGTTCTGCTCTTTCAGCGGCAAAGTGTGTCATTTGGTTTTAGCACATTCATTTGCCGGGCGCTGTGTTTATATTAAGGGAAGCCAAACCGAGAGATGAAATGTTACAAGGGTGAGGTACAAAGTCGACTCAATTTTTCTCAAGTTAGGAGATGCCAGTGATTTATAGCTCGGCTCCAATTTTGATTTTTTTATGTAGCAGTGGAAAGAATTAATAAAATGCACAGCTCTCAGAGTTGCGGGAGGGAGGAAGGGTAGTGAGGTCCGGACGACTGGCTGGAGTTTTTGTCAGATATTCATAGAATGTTGGGAAAAACATTCTGCTTAGCTAGCAGTGCCCTCGTGAGACAGAATGGCAGCAAGGAAGGAAAATAACAAGATAAATGAAATTTTTGCAGCTGCAAGTAAAATATTGAGAATCTGCACTTTTTTATTGATCTTTATGATCCTATTGCCAAGAGCCACTTTGCGGTGACGAAATATGTTGACAAGGGCATATCTCACTGCCATGAAAAATGTGGGGAAGGATTCGCCTTATGTCTGCAGTGTTATACAAGGAACAAATTGCCCTGCTACAGCCGATTCCTTACAGAAAGGCTAAATTTAAGGCCCAGCAACCCTAAACGCTTTTATCTTGAACCTGAGGCTCATATTTGTAGCCATTCTTCATGGAGGAAACTGGTCGCAGTCTCCTCATTTTTTTTTTTTTTTTAATCTGTAGGTTTTTCCTTCCAGCACCGGAGCTGTTATAAAAAATGTTTATTTCTTGGTGCGTTCACTCTATCATTTCAGAGGGTAATCTTTCAGCCGGAGTCAAGTGTGCCTCCTGTATTATTGAATTTCCACTCATTCCCCGTAAGAGGGGTTTTCTCTTCTCTCGTATCAAACTTTAGAAGACAGGCAACGGGGAAGTTTTTTTGTTTTTTTTTTTTCTTTTTACTTCCCTCAGTCCTTCGATCCCAAAGCTGCTTCATTTTACTGCAAATCTGGGGACTCCCAATGCCGAGTCGTGGGAATACGCGTCATGCTTTTCCTTCACATCAGAAATCGATAGTATTAATTTATATATGAGGGTGAGACGCCAGTGTCTGCAATTTGCCAAGAGACAGAATTTTCTCATTAGTGTGAGATAGGATTTTTTTTTTTTTCTTTAAAGGAGCCCTGGCTCTCTGCTATCTCCTGGGCCCCGTATCTGTCTCTTCAGCCACGATGTTCTGTGGAGGGTCATTGTAGAGATAAATTGTAAGGTGTTTATCCCTCTGGGGTGCAGGCTCTCATTGGTTGCTGGGAATGATAAGGGGGGTGCAGAACTTTTTTCGGGGGCAATAACAATGTACCTCTGACTAAGCTGGGTTTTCTTTTGTTTTGAATAGGTCGAATATATTCTACCGAGCCTGTATAGATATTCCCAGGGGTACCGAGCTTCTCGTGTGGTACAATGACAGCTATACGTCTTTCTTTGGGATCCCCTTACAATGCATTGCCCAGGATGAAAACTGTAAGAATTTATTTTAGCTCTGAATTCACCTCTCACAATACCTCTTTTTGAAAGCTAACGTTTTAAGAGTGTTGCTTGAGACTCCTGAAATACGGTTCGCTCTGATGCGTGATGCAAATGTGCACGAGCCTGTTCCCTCGGTTTCTTTTCCCTCTGTTGTCCTTTGCTTTTTCACAGGGCGTCTCGACTTAACACGGGCCCGTCCTTTCTTCACCCGTTGACGATTTCACAACCATTGTCAGAGTTTTAAAAGATCTCTGGCAGCAATGTGAAGGCAGCTGGCGTTCATTGAGCACCTACTGTGTGTCTGGTTCCCTGCTTGCCGCCTGGTGGGGTTACTGGGGCAGCACGAGGGACAGCACGTGTGCTTGAGTGATGCACGATCTTGCAAGAGGCACACTGCAGGCAAAAATGGAATGAATGAGAACACGAGGCTCTGTCATTAGGAGTAAAAGCCCTCTGGTTAATTGGGTGTGCCCCCTCCTACGTAGTCCTCGGAGGGAGAAACTAGCAAAAATCGTAGACCTTTGACTGCGGAATTTGTCTCCCTAAATGTCTTAGTCTAAAACGAACCACGTCACGTTCTTCCATCTCCACGACCGTGGCCATCGTTATCTCTAAAAAAAATAATCTACCACCTAGGCGAGTGCAAAACTTGAAGCAACTTTTACTCAAACGTGTAGTTATGTTTTATCATTTCTTGGGACAATATTTGAAGGTGATTTCCAGGATTTGGAACAGAATGAGGTCATGCTGAGGAGTTTCAGTGAGAAACGCTGGTTTCGGTGATGTCATTTTTTTCCCTTGGCACCAAACTGCCAACGGATAATTGGGAGGAGCTAATGATTTGGGTTTATGTAATAGAAAAAGACACAGAGAGAACAGATCTCTTGAGGAAACTTCATTTTGAAAAAGAAGTGTTATTTTTCCTTTTCCACTTACTTTCTCTCTCTCTCTCTCTCTCTCTCTCTCACACACACACACACACACACAATCTAAAAATTAAAAATGTTCATGTTACTCCTGAGGAAAATGCCAACGATCAGACATTTCTTTTCCACGTTGTCCTTACGTTCTTTGTGAAAAAACAGAATTCTCAAAAAAGCATATTCCCACCAACTTTCCCTTTCTCCTTTACCCTGACCCCAAACCAATCTCAAATCAAAAAATGAGTCTTCGGACATTCAGCACCTTCATCTTGCTTCTCAAGTTTCTACCGGAAAGTCCTTTACTGCAGTCATGCTCGTGTCTGAGGGAGTGTCTGTTCATGGGAGCAGATCTCAGTGTGGGACACGAGTGTGCGGTGTGTGTTAGGAGACAGATGTGCACAGGGGGTCAGTACCTGCCGTCTTCCCACGAGGGTTCCAGGCCCTTGCTCTCCTCACACTAGACCGCAGTCCCTGTATGGAAAGACAACAGCATCCGGCCCCCCGACCTGCTGACGTGGGCCCGTCTCCTGAACCTTGACGTACCCTTCTGGAGTATGGAATTGATCCCAAGGCCTGTCTGAAATCCTGTAAGGTCTTCTGTTTCCTCTAACAAAACTTGCTCCAGATCTGAAGACGTTACTGTGGTGTGTGTGTCCAGAAATGTCAGGATAAGCCTATCAAAGCCTAGAGTTCTGATGGACATTGAGTTGTCCAAGGATGTATTCATTCATTGCTCAGATATTTATCGAAAGCCTGCAGTGAGCCGTGTGTCTTTGTAGGTTCTGCAACTACAGCAGCCGAGAATTCCTGCCCTCATGCAGCTTACATTCTAGTGGAGGGAGACAGATTAATGCATGAATAAAGAAGCGAGTAAATACATGGTTTGTCAGGTGGTAACGTTTTGTAGAGAGATGGAAACAGAAAAGGGATGAGGCGTGCCGGGAGTCGGGAGTTGCAGTTTTTGAGAGTGATCAGGGTAGGCCCACTGGGAATGTGGCCTTGGGGATGAGATTTGAGGAGGGGAAGGATCAGCCACATGTTTGTTGTTTGGGAGACGGGTGTTCCACGTGGCGAGGTATAAAGGGTGGAGGCCCCACAATGGGGATGTTCCCGGCCTGTTGGGAGAGTATCCCCGGGGTCAGCATGGGGTTTTGGAGTGAGATGAGAAGTTCACTTAGACGTCAGGTGGGGCATGAGCAAGGAGCTCGTGGGGCCCAGAAGGCCCCCTTCGGAAGCCTGGTGTTTCCTCAGCGTGGGCCTCGCGAAGGGCGCTTACAGCAGAGTTTCGAGCAGAAGGGTGATATGTTCTGGCTGCCATTGTAAGAGGATGACTCTGGCCACTGAGTGGAGACCAGAGAGCAAGGCCTGAGGGTGGAGCAGGGAATCCAGTTCAGGCCCTTGCAGGAATCCAGGGGGAGAGATGATGGTAGTTTGGGCCAGTGTAGACACGGTGGAGGTGATGAGACGTGGTTGGATTCTGGATGCATTTTGAAAGTAAAGCCAACAGCATTTGCTGACACCTTTGGTGGTGAGTGAGAGAGAAAGAAGTCAAGGATCACTCTAGGGCTTTGGTCTGAGGAACCGGAAGGATGGAACAGCCATTTACTGAGTTATGAGTCAGAAATGGAAACCACCGTGGAAGTGACTAGGGAGTGCGTTTCTTACCCTTGATGCGATCTCTGAGGTGGAAGTCCTACATTTGCAACATTGCTTTCACTTTTTGATGCTGTTATATGGACGAGATGGACTTAAGGATCGGGCTGGAGGATTTGGGGGTCTTATGTGCCATCCACAGCCACCTGACAATAGGTATCTGAGAGTGTACCATCTGGTCCTCGGAGTGCCGAAGTGTCATCAGAAGGGTGCTTTCTGGAAGCACCAGATGCTTTGCTTTTTAATCCTTCTCTTTCCTAGACTCCAGCTGTGTAAAGCACTCTTGAGATTGCTGATTAGAGTATTCCATTAACTCTCCCAGAGTTATCATTTAGCACCTGAAATCCTTGGAAGAAAATGTGAAAAACTAGAGGAGCTTAAAGTATTATGGATTCAGTAAATAGACTAAGCAGCTCTTTTGCGTTGAGTTCCAAGCTCAGAGTGAGGGTGGAGGGAAGTTTAAAGAAAATTAAGTCATTGACGGAAACGCTCCACAATGACAATCCCCCCTTCCCCCTAACGGTATTATAGGAATTTTATTTCAGTTCCTGTCTCAAAGTCATATATCTGTCATGTGATTGGCCACCCAAGAAACCAGCAGAAAGCTTCATCAGATAGTGTAGAGGAGATATATGACTTTAACTCTAAGATGGATTCTCATTCCACATGATTCACTGAGAGAGCTGGGAATGCTTTATAATGAGGGTTCCTTATTCTGTACAGAGAAAATACTCTGTGTGATTTAAAAGCACAAATGTGTGAAAGGGCATGGACAGATAATTTAACAGATAGCCTTCCACAGCCCTTAGTAATTTAAATCATCTCAACTGGATTAGCAATTCTAAGATATTTTTTATCCCACTGAGCTAGCCACAGAATAAATCGGGTACCTTAAAAAAGGGGCTGCTTGAAGATACCGGAGACTTACGTGACAAAATGCCTCCACAGAGCCTCCTTATAGGGCTATGCACACACCAATTACTAAAACGCTCCCTGGATGAATCTTGAGACTTTTGTTGCCATTATTTGAAGGGATTAAACATTTCAGCCCGTAGTTTCCTTTGTTAACAAAACGGATATGTGGCCCAAGACATTCAAGGGCAATGTGATTTTATTTTTTTTATTCTTTTATTTTTTTTAAAGATTTTATTTTATTTATTTGACAGAGACACAGCGAGAGAGGGAACACAAGCAGGGGGTGTGGGAGAGGGAGAAGCAGGCTTCCACCGAGCAGGAAGCCTGATGCGGGGCTCGATCCCAGGACCCCGGGATCATGACCTGAGCCGAAGGCAGACGCTTAACGACTGAGCCACCCAGGTGCCCAAGGAGAATGCTTTCAATCAGGCATTTATTTGATCTCATAGCCAATATCTCTTCAGTTCCTTTCATTATTCATTGCAAATGAATTACTAAATAAATAAATTTTTTCATCTTTTTTTTTAAGATTTTATTTATTTATTTGACAGAGAGAGACACAG